CGCAAAGCTAATTTAATAAATAATAATCGTATTAAAGGACGTAAGGGATATATTTGTTAGAGAAATATGAAGAATATTATCAATAAGAAACTCACCCATTTAGTTGTAAATCCACTTCATGCACGGAAATGTGTGCAGGAGGATAGTGCATTGACCTCGTACAATGTATGATGAACTGCACAGCTGATCTGTATCCGACGGCGACGAACAGAAGGATATCTCCGGGCAGGCAATTTCAACGTTTACTTTCACTGCATTATCAGTAAACACTGATTATCAATAATATTTATGGACCAACTTTCCTGGGATTGTATTTTTTTTCTTTAAATAAGTAAAGTGAAACGTTATATACATTCATTTCTGCGGTCTTTTAATCACGTGTTTTTATAAATCAGTTTTCGAATATGTAGGAAACGCATTATAAAATTCTTCGACAATTCGCAGGTAACAAATTTTGGACCGGCGTTTCCTGACACAGGAAAATAAAGTACGTTCTCGAATGCTATAGCGTTCACTTAATATGTTTTCCACATTCACACAATTCCTTAATCGATCTTCAATTTCTTACATCGTAAAGAAACCATAATAAATTACTTATATTTAACATAATTGTAAAAGTTTCAATAAAACCAAAATTTAGTACGTTGTTACAATATCGAGACAAACTTGATATTTGCGATATATGTATATGTATATATATGTACATACAAATCAAACTTCAGAACGTTATAAACATGATAGGAAATTTTTTGAATAGCACAATTATCAAGAAAACAAACTTTAGAGGAAGAAGATGGTCCAACGTACTCAACAGGTGTATTTTATGTAACACATCAACACAAAAAATGTAATAATTTTCACAAAAATAAAGTTTTCAAGCTGAAATATTTTTTCAGTATATGTACTCTATACTGAAGAAATAAGGATATGAATTTCACACTATGATAATCTTTAAAAAAAAAGTTTGTTATGCCAAAATTTTGTTTACAAAATTAATTTTTACGGATTTAAATCCAGCGTAAAAAAATGCTATAAAAATATATATTTTCAAAAATTTGCCTTGTTAGGATCAAATTCTATTCTCTTGTCACCAATGTTTAAACATTCAAGTAGGTGTAAATACGCAATAAATATAAAGTTTCTTTTTCGTCCGAAAAATTATTGCGACCAAAAAGATTCTAATTATTGTAATTGTAAAGAAAATAGTACGGCAAGGAGTTAAAAGAGTCGAAATAATTACCCAATTGTTAACGCGATACACGAGTAACTTAATTTATAAAACTGTTGCTAATTGTTTCTAACTTCGTTAAAATTCCCAGGTATCCATCCATCTTAAGGAATGCATTGGACTTTCAGGGTCTTGTGCAGATAGACCAACCATACCATACGCTAACGGTGAAAACAAGTAGAAACTGAAATAACAATGCATTTAATCTTTCTGTTATTCTATTTATAACGGCATGTATTTCTTCGGAGCATAATACTTACCTATACACGGTACTCGAAATAACGAAAACTAATACCGTATGATAAATCACGCGGCCAATGCTGTTTGGAAACAGAATATTTAAAGTTTCTATTATATAGTTCAGAGTTGTCCCAGTCAGCATCGAGCTATATAATAAAGCAGGGAAGTAATGATGAAAATATAAAACTCTGTTCATGGCCCAAAATGGTGCATAATGCAATACCCAGCCGAGAAACAACCATTTCCCGGCGCATAAGATTTTGTTTCGCTGTATGAGTATAGCAGGTTGATCTGTGCAACCACGTTTCTCTCGTACACAAGCATGAATATACAGAACGACGAAAAGTATTAAAAATATTATATTGCCCCACCATATGACTGGATTTCCTAGTAAATATATCCTTAGATTGTTTCCCGAGAAGAATTGACCCTGGAAAGATTATTAAGTAAAATAAACTTCGATATTCTTATTACGTGAGAAAATATGAGACTTACTCTGTAATTAATGGGCCATTGCCACGGCCGCGACGATACTTCTCCCTCTTTCACTTTCAAGTCTGAGTTTCCTTGTAGCATCACTGCATGCGATTCGAAGAATCTATTTAAAAATCCTGGTGCGTAAACTTGGAAACTAACATTCGGCACTGTGTAAAAGTAACAGATTAAACAAATAGTACTTTATCACTAATTAATATACGAATGCCTACATTTTGCATAGTTGTTATCTTCGATGTTCCACCGTGCATTCTTATCTCTCATATTTGGATTGCAGGAGACCTCCTGCTGACTGTATGCCCTGTGACATCACACACAAAGATTATATCTTTCGAACAATGGATATTCTTCTTTTCCAAAATTCAACTGACCATTTCGGCAACGTCTTTCCGCTGCATGTTAAAACACAGTGGTGTAGATAGTGTACAAACTTCAATTTGCTCGTTACCGTTTCAATCGCGTCGCCATCTCTACCATTCATTATTAATACTTTCCATACATCGTTAGCGTCTCCAGTGCCATTCTAAAAGATAAAACCACCATTAAATTCTGTTATCTAATATATTGCAATAAGATCAACTTGCCTCGCCATATCCTGTAACTTGATAATGTTTCTTTGACAGCGGTGCGTATTCTTTGTGAGAATGTAAATTACGATGTGTGATAACGTGCTCTAATCGTATGAGATCACCGTGTTTAACGAGTATCGGTTCGTCTGGAATATCATCAGTATCTAGTCGTTTTACTAACCACAGATTATTGTCATCTTTGTGCGAATATGTAGTGATCTGAATCAATTTTAGACGTTAATATTCTTCGAAAGCGTGATGCCGAAGTGTATAAAAATGAGATTAGTACTTGTTGTTGTCTAGCTCCAACACCCTCTGGATAAAGGTGCCAATGAGAGTGTAAATATCCTCCTCCTGTACGGTGATTCTTCAAAGTGATAGTTGCACCATAAGCTAATTGCCTTGGCATTGTTGCATTATATAAAGAATTTCCTTCTAACAGGGACTGAAATTCAGAGCTGTAGAACCCATCTCCACTTCCACTGAAACCGTTCAGATTTTATTACTTTTATAAATAGCAAACATATATTTAAAATAATTGTTTTACCTTTTATTTAAAACAGAAAGATGAATGTAAAAGAATAACATATATAATACTATAGGCAGCAGAACGAGACAAATGCATCGTGCCAACAAATGCTTGCCAACATAAGTCTATAAAGTGTAAATACGGATGTAAATGTACGCACATCAATCTAAAGCGATTAAAGATACAGAGAGAGAGGAACTTACAATAGGTTTTGTAAGATCTCCTAATTCTCTCCATAATTCAAAAGCTGTGTAAAGCCCAACTAGAAGGACAACAAACAGACCAACAAATTTTACGCTAATCGTGCATGCAAGCGAAATTCCTGTGAAAGTTAGCCATCCCCACCATTTCCATGTGAATGGTTCATTACGTAGGGATCCCATACGAGCCATGCCCCATGTTGCACACATCACGAAACATAATAGTATAGGATCCAAAAGTATATATTGGTTTAATGTCAATAAGCCAATATCTGCAATATATTGATTATTTAAAATCATTTACTATTTAATTATTGGAAATACTAAAAGTATGCATACCAAAGAGAACAAATAATGCAGAAAATGCAGCCGCCTGAATAGACTTTGTCAAATCCCATACAATTAAGTACGACAGAGGCACTATAGTTGCACCTAGAAAAGTACAAAACTGAAACATATAACATATCTAATTTAGTTGTAGTTGAATATAACGTAAATCAGTTACTTTGTAATTATAATTCATACTTATAAGTCAACATAATGCTGCAATTTGATTACTCTTCAATCATACTTACAAGTCTCATACCAACATATTTAACATTCTCATATTTATCTCCTGGCTTCTCAAAAGCAAATGTTCCATCATATCCGGTTAAGTACCCAGATAATCCTATTAACATCTGGAAACTAATAATGTAGAATCTCTTACCATGTACACAAAAATTATATTGATGCAATAATTACCTTTCCAAGGGGTGGGTGAACATCAAAGAAAAATGTTCTGTTTATATACCAACTTCCCATTTTACCAAAATGAGTTTCATCCCAGCTAAAAATTAACATAAATATATACATATAAATGTGAACTGCAAATCCGAAGTATTTGGTGTACTTACCAAACATGCTGTGGTTCCGTTACTTTATAAAATCTTGTTCCTGCTGTGAGTATTACAATAAGTCCAAAAAGTAGCCACCAATTACTATGAAAAGTATATTTAAAATTATTTCATTGGTATCGTAGTTGCATATTTCAAATTTACAAGTGCATAACAGTGCGACTATACATACGTATTCATTTCATCCTTTTCTTCACATGAAGACTGTTTATGTAAAGACGAATTTTTTATTTTGTACGCGTTTTCTAAATTACTACCTGCGTTCTTCATCTTATGTGTAAGTTACGCTACATTAAATGAAAACAAATATATAGATGATAAAAAAAGGGGCAAAAATATATACAAATAATACAAGGGTCTCGAATATATGACACAGGCAACAATCGCGCGCCTAGAATACCTGTTGAATTTCTCGTTTTCCAGGTCCAGCATAAATCGAGAAAGTACCGCTATTGTGTTACAGTAGCGTATCATTTAGAAGGAGAGCCCCATTTACAATCTTCAAAAATTCGATTTTTGTACAACTATTGCTGATGAACTTAAAATCTCGATTAAAAAACTAAATTTAACCATTTTTGGCATAAGTAATGTGCAATAAAATTTGACCAATATCATAAAATATCTTTCCAAGTTTAGTAATAAATGTAATAAATGTACAAAAATTTTTCAAAAATCGTTTATCGTTTCATCAGATTTTATTTAATTGTAACGATTAGAAGATACAAATTTCGCGCCACTTTTTTTCCGGAATCTCGACTGACAGTTTCGGTTGTTTCGATTATTGAATTATGTAATACATAAATGAATATAGTATATATCATATCTGAATACGCATCAGTACGCATTTCGATAAGTAATACTGACTAGATCTATGTACTCATCTCTGGTATGTCAGGTACATATTTATAATACTTATTAAAGTGAAATCGCGAGAGCATATTATTGATCTGCATTTTTGAAAGAATGCGGAATTTATCATGAACACTAGTTACATGCAGAAATGATTTCAGGAATTAGTTTCAGAAGTGATTTTATAAATCAGCAGAAAATGGATGTACTGGACATATCCAATGGAAAAGGATCGTTCACTAGAGATGTGTTGCAGAGACTGTCTAGCCGAAGACAATTACCAAAGAACATGTCTTTCTTGAATGCAGAATTGAACGCAACAACGTAAGGTTTGGAAAGTGGAACAAATTATGTAGCTGAATATGTTGAAAAGGAGAAAAAGGGGTTGTTATACATACAATTTCTAAAGGAGGAGTTGGTAGAGATAACATGGTAATAATAATGTCACATGGAAAATTGCAGTTTTTTACAAAACTGTCAGAATGAGACAGTGTATTATGCCACTGGAAATGACAATTTTGAACCAGGAGATTGCCATTGAAAAGACAAAGTGTGTGTTTAAAATAAATACAGTACTTCACTTACACCAGCAATATCGAAAACCATTTGGGATCACTATTACCAGGTTTTACGATTGTCTCGTCTTCTTATAGCACTGCAACATGTACATGGTAGATATAAAAAAGAAAAATCACAACATAAATTTCATTTTCAACTAATAAAATGAAACATTTCAACCAACAGCTTCAATTTACAGTTGGAAAGTCCCAGACAATTTTGGGTACAAATCTGCGACTCCAGAATTAAGAAGGAAATTGATAGAATATAGACAATAATAATTATAGACAAAAATTTGGATTATTTTAATCCATTCGACATAGTTTTGAAGACTAGCACGGTCCATATGAAACGAAATATTGCATACCGTATTTCTAAATGATAGTGACAGGTAACATAACTTAGCTGGAAATCCTGATGCAAGTTTATTAACTGGATTATGGTTATTCGGGTAAGTGTTGTCTGTGCGATTTAGAATATATCGACAATACCGAATTCACCTGCATTACCTATCGAATGCATTGTAGACAAAACACAACCGTCTATAATGGATAATTTGGACGATAATTGGTTGGACGCTATCATCGTCTTTTTCTGGATGCTAATGCACAAACCAGGCTTGCTGTATAGCGACATGTGTTCTATAGTAAACGGGTGTCATGACATTAGAAATATTACTACAGATTGATGAGGAGGCGATCAATATCAATCAGTCACTGATCGATAAAGGATTTGCAAGAGAAAAAGAAGCTATTTTTCATGGTTTAATCATGACTTACGAATGAACCAGGCGAGCATATCCGACGAACAGTGTTATCATTAAGAACTGTTACAATATAACCAGGATTACGCTCAGAACGTTTATCCTAATCCATCAACCGTTTCCGAGTATTACACATCGATGAATATGTGGGAGTCATTCTCGTCCCTGAAGATTGACTTGAAACACTATAGTTGGCAGAGACAAGAGGGTACACATGGCCATGAACTCCGTGAACGCTGGTCTGCTGTAAACTGAATGTTGGATCCTTATTGTACAGTGTGCCACGTGGTAGTGAACGATATTTATGATCTTCACAGTCACTTGTTCACCAACAATCATGGAGAGAAAGAGAAACAACTAGGCATTAATTACAATCAAATAATGGAGTATGTTTATTAACGTAAGAAGTAGTATTAATTAATATTGTGTTAGTTTACACGCTTGATAAGACCTGAGAATCCTGAAATTATTTTGAATTTGTTTTTACGTATAAATATATTTCCTCTCTGTTTTAATTTTAGAACGTAAGTAGTTAATCTCAGTTCAAACGTTTAATAGTCATATTTGTATAAAGTTATATACCAAACACGAGAAAGAAATATATAAATAAAAATTTGTTTACAAAGATGGTGCTGACAAATATACAGATGCGTTGGGATATTTTGATACAAGCAAATGACAATATACCCTAAACTTCTCTCTGAAGATATCTCGCACCAGGTTGAGAGTATAGCAATCGACCTGGAACGTTAGCGCCAGAAGCACTAACATAAGTTCCAGGTGGCGGTGGAGGATATGGAGCAGGTGGCGGTTGTGGTGCTCTCACTGGATATCCAGACGTAATTCCTCCCGTTTTCGCACCCTGTATAAAAGAGAATGCTATATTGTTCAGATTCTGTAATACTTTGATTGCAAGAAATACCTGTGGTGGCTGTTGAATTGGAATAGCTCCACCATGAACGGTAACATGGCTACTTGGCCGCAAATAAAACTTATCCTCCGCGTAGGCACCTTTGTGATCCAGTGAATGCAAGCTTGTTACATACGCTAGAAAAACAAAACATGTTTCAATGCTTTGTTAACTTATGCGGCTCAATTTTAATAAGATACAAGATCATGTTGTACCTGTTTGATGTGTTGAAAGAGTTCCTCTATTTCCAGTAAGGTACACGGACTTGGTGGGTTCGGGTTCCCGAGACGGTTGCGTGGTAGGTGCCGAATAACTATAAACGCTTTGACCAGTAGGTGTCGAATAAAAACTGGAGGCGGAATACTGATTGTTTTCTGCAAAACAAGAGAAAAGACGAAAGTTAACACTGAGAAAACTTAAACGATTCTATTGACGGTTTAAAAAAAAAAAGCATGGAAATTAAAGGATTATTCACTCACTGTTCCAGAGAACAGCTCGGGAATCGCCAGATCTCCTAGCAGCTTCCTCAGATTCTATAGAGGCACAAATATCTACGTTTAATATTGTGTCTCTCTTATTTTTATAAATATATATCTTTTAGCGCAAAGGTAGAATTTCAATATGAGATTGTACTTACTGGAGGGTGCAGGATTATAACTTGGAATCGAAGGTGCTGGTTTGTATCCATAGCCGGCATGATATGGAGAGGCTGTTGGTGGTGGTGATGGACTGTGCGTTCTCTTTAATGGTCCCTATAGAAATGATGATGTGAAATGTGTTACTTAAGAAAATATGCAAATAATATGAACTTACACTAGGCAGTAAAGTATGCGTTGGTGTGCCAACAGTAACCTTATAAAGAGGACTACTGCTTTGTGGTAATGGAAGGAACACTTGCGGATGAACCACTCTAGGGCCTGCTCCAGGATATCCTCCCACTGCTGTTAATACTTCAGAGCAGACACTGCAAAATAATAATGATCAATTATAATGCGTCAAGGAAAATTCTTCTCCGTAAGAAATAAATACAGACTTTGCTTCTTTAATTAACTGCCTCCTTCTGTTGTCGTCTTCGTTCAAAACTTTCTTCAATTGTAAGAACAACTGATGTTTTTCGTCCTTCAATTGGGAGAGCTCGTTCTCAAGAGTGGATATTTGTTCTCTAGTTTCGCCTAAAGTCATTACATCTTGTTTCTGCTGGCGTTCCCTTTCTTTTCTTAATCGTTCTTCCTCTGCGTCTGCTTCTTGTTCTGCATATGTATTATATATATATATATGTAACAGCTGTAATGTTTTTATGAAGAAAAAAATGCTGACTATTAATTGTGAGAACACTATATATTATACACGTATACGTGATCTTGAAGTTAGTCGGCGAAAACGGCAGAAGATTAAAATATAAAATTTAAGCAGTGGTTTTCGTGTGAATTTGTTACGAAGCTGAAAACAATGCAGTTTTGTAAATAGAGTGACTTTGGCAGAATTTCATATGCGAATTAGGTTACCTTGTTTCTTTCGTTGTCTTTCTCTAATAATATGAGTTTTTAACGCCTGCCACATCTGCTCACTGCGCTGAGGTGGGCCCACGATCACCGCCGGCATTTTTAATCGATTGTTTCTTCAATTTAACACGATATGATTCATCCCAATAAAAGTTATACCTGGATTTTCAGATCTACTTTTTGTATACATCCTCGTCCTGACAATACCAGCGCTGATACATATGCTCATACGCACAATGTATATATATACTACATTCTATATATGCACATAGAATGTCATACATACGGTACATAACAATTCTCGCTGTACTATTTTTTAACACCAGATGGCAGATATGCACCTCGGACGGACTGACGCCAACTAATTCTGAAATATAGTCGCGCAAAACACTGCGAAAAGTTGAAATTGTAATTTCAATCTTGGAGATATTATTGAGTTGTTTTTACATTATTAAGTCGTTTTGTGTATAGTGGATAATATTAATAATAAATAAATCAAACTCAGTAAGTAAATGTCCTATCCCAATTTTTTACATAACCATGTTTGAGGTGGTGTAGGTTATGTTGACATTCGTGTGAACGTGTATGTATATGTATTTCTGTATTTATAAGCATGATGGTTTACGTACTATTAATTTCCTTTCACCAAATTTCATCAAATATACTTTTTTGGATTAATCTTGTATTACGATTGTTTGAATTTGAAGCATAATTTCGAAAATGGTTAACATGTTTAAATGAATCAGTACAACATACAGTATGCATATACTGAATACTGTACATTGCATTTGTATATAAATTCCATTTTAACAGAATCTTTTTTTCAGAGACCAATTACTATAGAAAGAATTAATTTTTTCTGAAAGTTTTCAAATAAAAACAAAACATGGCACACTATAAAGGAGCAGCCAGTGAAGCTGGTAGAGCAATGCAGTTAATGAAGAAAAGAGAAATTGCTCAACAAGAAATAGAATTAAGGAAAAAGAAGATAGAAGATGACCTGAAGATTCACAATATAGAGAATAAATTTGCAACACATTATAATGCTGTTGAACAGCAATTGAAAACATCTACGATAGGTTTAGTCACATTGAATGAAATGAAAGCAAAACAAGAGAACATAGTTAAAGAAAGAGAGAGGAAACTTGCGCAAAAAGAACGCGAAAAAGAACAGGAGAAGGAACGTGCTCTTGCTGCAAAGCAAGCTGAAAAGAATAAACAAAAGAAACAAATACAAGCTTTGTCATTCAGTTTAGAAGAGGATGAAGTGGAAGTATCCAGTGAAGAAGAGCCAGAAGTAAAATTAGAGAAAAAGATGGATAGCGATGATGATAAACCAGTGATAAAAAAGATTAAAAAAAATCCAGATGTGGACACAAGTTTTCTGCCTGACAGAGAAAGAGAAGAAGAAGAAAATAGGTTGAGGGAAGAATTGAGACAAGAGTGGGCAAGAAAGCAAAATGCATTAAAAGAGGAGGAGATTGAAATCACTTTCAGTTATTGGGATGGTTCTGGACACAGGCGAAGTGTTATTATGAAGAAAGGTAAGGGCCTATATGTTTATCAAATTTTTATGAGATTATATTAGTCTCTCAAATAATTTCATACTAATTGTTACTAGTTCGCGCTGTTGGCAGGTAATTCCATTTACCAACTTCTTCAAAGATGCTTGGAGGTTTTGCGGCGTGAATTCAGTGAATTAAAAACAGTCATGGCTGACCAATTAATGTACGTGAAAGAAGATCTAATCCTGCCACATCATTATACATTTTATGATTTTATTGTGACAAAGGTAATTGTTGCATGGAATAGGTAAATGATTTCACTATCCAACAAAAAATTACATAGAAATTACATGCTGATGTATATTTTAGGCACGAGGCAAAAGTGGACCACTTTTCACGTTCGATGTTCACGATGATATTCGTGTCATGCACGATGCTTCTGTTGAAACAGAAGAGTCCCATGCTGGAAAAGTTTTGCTCAGGTACTGAATTTTTTTTTAATATTAAACATATGACATACTAACGTACTTCTGTTTTACTAATTCATCAATTATTTCCTAGGTCTTGGTATGAAAGAAACAAGCACATATTTCCTGCCAGCAGATGGGAGCCATTCGATCCAACCAAAAGTTATGACAAGTACACGGTGTCCGATAAAAATAGGAAAAAGGATAAAATTTAATATTCGTAATATAGAAAATTGTTGTACAGGGTCGACAGTGCACATTGTGTTCAATATAAAAGCATAAGTTGAATATATTCTTGCAGGTATTAAATATTCGAAACGTGTATTAATATATATATTTAATTATAGTCATTTGAAATTTACAATTTCCTTAATCAATAAGGATAGTGAGTAGGCACTGCTTAAACTAGAAGCCAAATGTCATTGTGTATTCTGTACATTCAAAATAATGCATAAAAATTCCATTAAGCTATTTCTTAGAAAAATATTTCATATATATACATATACATACATACATAATTATAAATATATATATATATATTTATGTATATATATACATATATTGTTAATATTTTCAGAGATGTTTACCTCAATAATGATCTCATTTGTTGTTTTAGCATTTGATTTTGTTAAAAGACCTGACAATACTAGAAGAAATTCGATACTCTTTCGAAGNGTCTCTTTTTCGGCGACATTTAAAATTGACGATGGATTAAATGATACAGGCCTCTTTAATCACTTTGTCCAGAGAATCTTTATCAACATCTTGCAAGCTTTTCATTATCGATACAGTGTCTATCATGGAAACCACGGTATTCGTCTTAGATATGCTATCATGTAACCTCACCAATTGCCCACGATCATTGCAGAAATTCTTATAATAGACCTGTTAATTTAAAAATTTCAAACAGCATATTTTCATTACGAGCATGTCTGCCAAAGATTCCATTCACTCACTGAAAGTTTCTTGTCCAGTTCTAAGAGTACATTCTTTGTGTCCTCGTCGATAACATACGGATTAATATCAAAATCTAATGCATCAACGATTACCTCCTCAGCGATGCTTATCGTATTCATTGTTTCCCACTTTTCGTTCTCGACATTGTTAAGCAATTCCAAATTGAGGTGGTTCGACTAATAAAACGCGTTGATCGTAACATTTTAAAGTTCAGAAGCTCCAAGGAAGATGATTTAATACTTACTGAATTATGAGGAGAGCTAACGTTCATGGTATCTCGGTTTCTAAATGCTTGCAGCTTAAAATCGTTTGCTCCGAGCGATATGTTTAATACATTGTTGGTGTGTGATTCTGTCGTCACAGTGGTTGAATCGTGTTTTTCACATTTCAAATACAATTCTTTAATGTTTTTTCTTTCTTTTTAATTATGTAAATAAATAGAGTATTAGACATATATATATATACATATATGTATGTGTATATGTACATATACATATATACATTTACAACATATGCTATCTATAACAGCTGATGATAATGTTTTCACAGTTTCACAAACTGACAGAAAAAATATATTATTACCAGTTCCCTTTGTTTTATTTGCATATCATTTTTTATTGTCATACCTGCGCTAAGTGTTATATATGTCGGACACAATTGAAGAAACAGCTGTGTATTCTCAGCTAGTTTACCATTTTCAGATGGACTGGCGGCTGATAAAATGTTTTTCAGCCTCTTTCGATTATCACATTGACAAATCAATGTATCTTCTCTTGCTTTCTGTGGTATGATTTATACATGTTCAAAAGTTGTTCTAATAACATATAACGAAGGGATATTCACCTTTACTCGGAGATTCATTCTCTTCATAAGATTATCAAGATTTTTCATCTCTAAAATCTTTTTCTCTATGCACTCCTCTGTCGCGTTTGTTTGTCTATCTGAATGATCGATATCATTCTCATTGTCACTATCATACGATTCCTCGGTGAGACATGACTCTAGGGATCTCGAGTCTAATTCACTTAATTCCTTTAACGACCTTAGCTCCTTCAAAGCGACCATCGTGTCGTCTATATCTGTACTTTCGTACATTATTCACCGTTCTAACCATATACATAGTCGTACAACAATACACAGGATGTCTCAGACACATTTATTCTCTCGCTTGAGATATCCTGCGTACATGGAAACATGTACACAACGTTTCACGGCGTTGTATGTACAACGTTGTACAGCATTTCCTCCGTAGCGTTGCGTTTCGGCGACCCACTATTCCTACGTATATCATGGCACAACCAATCACGAGGCAGCGGCCAGGACGAAGACAAAATAACTTCCGCTGCTCCCGAATGTCGCGCGCGACCTTACGAAGGAAATGCTCTATCTGAATTCCCGCGGAAATTCTGAGATGTGCAGAAGCGAGATCGAATCGAACATTGAAAGGACTATTCTTTGACTAACAATTTACACAAGTACATAAGAGAAATATTTCTCACACGACAAGGAAAGTCGTGGCTTTCGCACGAATGTACTCCCTTGTAAGAATGTACAGATTAGGTCGTCCCTTAAGTTCGTGCTGTCATTTCAGTTCGCGCATCCGTTGATTCCGTCAAAGAATAAGTGTTTCTATCGCTAACGTTAACGTGTGGTAAAACTTCTGGACATTTAGTTGCTACANATATGTATGTGATGAATTACATAATTAATTTTTAGAAAAGTACATCTGCCTCATATGTTTTGTCTCTTTTTCGGCGACATTTAAAATTGACGATGGATTAAATGATACAGGCCTCTTTAATCACTTTGTCCAGAGAATCTTTATCAACATCTTGCAAGCTTTTCATTATCGATACAGTGTCTATCATGGAAACCACGGTATTCGTCTTAGATATGCTATCATGTAACCTCACCAATTGCCCACGATCATTGCAGAAATTCTTATAATAGACCTGTTAATTTAAAAATTTCAAACAGCATATTTTCATTACGAGCATGTCTGCCAAAGATTCCATTCACTCACTGAAAGTTTCTTGTCCAGTTCTAAGAGTACATTCTTTGTGTCCTCGTCGATAACATACGGATTAATATCAAAATCTAATGCATCAACGATTACCTCCTCAGCGATGCTTATCGTATTCATTGTTTCCCACTTTTCGTTCTCGACATTGTTAAGCAATTCCAAATTGAGGTGGTTCGACTAATAAAACGCGTTGATCGTAACATTTTAAAGTTCAGAAGCTCCAAGGAAGATGATTTAATACTTACTGAATTATGAGGAGAGCTAACGTTCATGGTATCTCGGTTTCTAAATGCTTGCAGCTTAAAATCGTTTGCTCCGAGCGATATGTTTAATACATTGTTGGTGTGTGATTCTGTCGTCACAGTGGTTGAATCGTGTTTTTCACATTTCAAATACAATTCTTTAATGTTTTTTCTTTCTTTTTAATTATGTAAATAAATAGAGTATTAGACATATATATATATACATATATGTATGTGTATATGTACATATACATATATACATTTACAACATATGCTATCTATAACAGCTGATGATAATGTTTTCACAGTTTCACAAACTGACAGAAAAAATATATTATTACCAGTTCCCTTTGTTTTATTTGCATATCATTTTTTATTGTCATACCTGCGCTAAGTGTTATATATGTCGGACACAATTGAAGAAACAGCTGTGTATTCTCAGCTAGTTTACCATTTTCAGATGGACTGGCGGCTGATAAAATGTTTTTCAGCCTCTTTCGATTATCACATTGACAAATCAATGTATCTTCTCTTGCTTTCTGTGGTATGATTTATACATGTTCAAAAGTTGTTCTAATAACATATAACGAAGGGATATTCACCTTTACTCGGAGATTCATTCTCTTCATAAGATTATCAAGATTTTTCATCTCTAAAATCTTTTTCTCTATGCACTCCTCTGTCGCGTTTGTTTGTCTATCTGAATGATCGATATCATTCTCATTGTCACTATCATACGATTCCTCGGTGAGACATGACTCTAGGGATCTCGAGTCTAATTCACTTAATTCCTTTAACGACCTTAGCTCCTTCAAAGCGACCATCGTGTCGTCTATATCTGTACTTTCGTACATTATTCACCGTTCTAACCATATACATAGTCGTACAACAATACACAGGATGTCTCAGACACATTTATTCTCTCGCTTGAGATATCCTGCGTACATGGAAACATGTACACAACGTTTCACGGCGTTGTATGTACAACGTTGTACAGCATTTCCTCCGTAGCGTTGCGTTTCGGCGACCCACTATTCCTACGTATATCATGGCACAACCAATCACGAGGCAGCGGCCAGGACGAAGACAAAATAACTTCCGCTGCTCCCGAATGTCGCGCGCGACCTTACGAAGGAAATGCTCTATCTGAATTCCCGCGGAAATTCTGAGATGTGCAGAAGCGAGATCGAATCGAACATTGAAAGGACTATTCTTTGACTAACAATTTACACAAGTACATAAGAGAAATATTTCTCACACGACAAGGAAAGTCGTGGCTTTCGCACGAATGTACTCCCTTGTAAGAATGTACAGATTAGGTCGTCCCTTAAGTTCGTGCTGTCATTTCAGTTCGCGCATCCGTTGATTCCGTCAAAGAATAAGTGTTTCTATCGCTAACGTTAACGTGTGGTAAAACTTCTGGACATTTAGTTGCTACATTTCAGTGGACCCATTACACTTCATCGACATTTTACTCCCTGATTATCATCTTTTATAGTATAAAATTGATTTCTAGGTAAAAAATTTATAAGTGTCGACATTACAAGAACACACAGTAGAAGAAGAGAAGTATTCATACACCGATCTATATCTAGTCAAAAATCAAACTTATCTGATTATGAACACTAAGTTAAAAATTATTTTCATTGCACTATACTTCAATAGAAAACTTATATTCTCACTGAATAATCTAATATAATTTTTAATTTAGTGTTGCAATGGAAAATATAACTACCAGCGATATCTGGTGTATGAATATTTTCTTTGTCCACTAACGAAAACTCTAATACAGTTCTACATTTACGTTATGACGATTATAATGAAATAAATATGTAAAAAATGCATATAACGAAGAAGAGTGTTCTTTTTGTACATGTTCTAGGCATGTCGTAAACGCAGATATATAAATATTGGAATAGAAACCGTCACGAATTTATGGCACGACCTAATAATAACGGCGATGAATTATATTAACGTCTGTCAGCACACATCTGCCTTTTCTTAGGCATTATTACTAGAACTAGGTAATACGAAAGTACCTCTTTTTGTTTTCCACGAAATTTTCGTGTCATCTATTTCATCCCAATCGGTAGATGTATCTGTTGCTTGGGTTTTGGTTTGTGTTTTAGGTACTTTTTGTGTTTGTCCTTCTATGTTGTTGCTCTTTGAGACACTGGTGGAACAGGTTTTTGCTTTGGTTTCAACAGAATGAACATCAGTAGAGAAAACATGTGACGATTGATTGCTGTTCGTTTTACGACGCATTGTTGATTGTGTTGTGCACTCTTCCTCATCGCTGCTGCCTTCCGTGTATAGTTCCTCTCCAGATATCCATAGCTCTTCTTCCTCTTCCTAAAAAAATGTAGGCTGTACAATGTGCAACCATATTATTATTAACACTAGATGATCAATTAGAATTGTTCTACAATTCTTATCTTATAATCATTGTGACGTCAAAAGTGTTTTCAGCAGAAATTGTGAAATACATTTGATTTTCGCATGTAGAATAAAGCAAGATTCAGTCTATAAATTTTTAAAGCAAATTATGCAAGGTATACCTTTAGGAAATTACATCTATTAAACAAGATGCATAAATACGTTTTTGAGCTAGTTTAGAAAAAAGTGAGAGTCCTACCTCTTTTTTTATTCTGGCAAGTTGCGATTGCACTGTGCCTTTCATCAACTGCTCCTGTGATGTCATGTTGGTTGTCATTCCAGTGACCAGCCTAGTCCTACATGAAATACAGAGAATAAATAAATGAATAATTTCGTGGTGCACGGTATGCAAATATTGCGTGAAGAACGGCCAAGTGCATTCGACATTTATAGACCGTCAACGTGTAAAAGGTCGGATCAAAGGGCCAACTGAACCATGTAATTGCAACTCTATCAATGTAATTGTCTTTGTGAACTTTAGACTAATCCAATCATAAAATCTTCGCAAACTTTCCGAAACAAACGAACGATCAATGGAAAATTGATTGCGGCTGCGTTCACGGGATTTTCCGAATTTTTTTTCTTTCTCGCAATTCGATCGATCCGAAAAACACTGTGCTACGAGTCCTTGAACTAGCAAAATCTAGAGCAAGGGCGATACGGGTCAGGGTTATGCGTCACGTTAACAATGCATGGTGTTCAAATTCAGGGTCATCAAAGTTCACTATTTCATATTCGAAATCTTCCACACATGGTCTTTCTTTTATTAGACTTGTGAATTTTATGCATGTTCAACTTTTAATGCTGTAAGGTACACCGAATATCTATAATAAGGGAAAACATATTTTAACAAAAATGTTCTACATTTCGTTTGCAGTCACAGAGAATACAATTGTCAAGAAAAACATTTATTTGAATAATGATCTACTGTCTAGTTGCCACTGCTATAGTCCAAGGGTATTTCAGTCGACACGTCTAAACGCGTATTTGTATAATGAATATTTTTCTTAATGTCAGTGCTAGTTCTTACGTTACACCATCTAATATCATATTTTATCATACAAAATAATGCACAAAAAGTATAAAATTCGGTGCCAACAAACGTAGGCAAAAATTTTGTATAGATTTTGTCTATTCGTATAAACCGAGTTTCGTTATTTACAACGAAACGTCAAAAATGTACGATGATAGAAAACAACGATGTTCGATGACTTCGTTACCTTGATTTTGCGGACCGCACACTGTCAGGGAACACGAGATTCGCGTGGTAACTTTGATTGTCAACACTGACAATTTATTTTTAATAATGACAGGTGTTATCGGTCAATGTTTCTGCAAATCTAATCGAACGTTTTATCGATTCAAACTTTGTCTACGACATGTTTGGAAACTGCTATCATGGCTCGTGTTTCACGTGACACTTCTGTCGCGGTTAATTGACAAATAGATCAATGAAAACAAAGAGTCGTGACGTTTCTTTCTTTCTTGTTGCACGATTTAGCAGGCAGTCGAAAGCTGCATGAGATACTCCATACTGGCTTTGTAATCGCGATAGCAGCGGCGCCTATGGCCAGATACAGCTCGATATATAAATAAATGTATTAGCTCGCTTGCGCGGTGGACCACTTTTGTTTTCTCAATGTGATCTGATTTTCTTTCGCTTCTTTTTTCGAAAACATATTTGTTCGCAATTTCATTGAAAAGGCAGGAGCAGTAATGACGAAAATATTATTTTATATTTATCAAGAGTAATCGTTATTGTACAAGTACGGTTGAACCTCGGTAACTCGAAAGTCTCTAGAAGATAATAATTTTCTTTGTTCAATTATAAACCGAAGATTTATAATTCGAGATCCGAGTTATCGAGATTAAACTGTATTACATAATACGTATGTCACATAATACTGAATTACAATGTTGGCTCTATACACGTGGGGTCCATGTACGTTATGTTCTCTGGAAAGTGGTCCATGATGATAAACCTCTTTTCACTAGATTCACTTAGGATATCGATGAATCCAAACCAGTAAATTACTAGTCCTGGACCGAATCTGTTCCAGTAGCTTAGAAACTGCTCTTTTATGTACTTGTGATGAATTTCTAAATTGCCAAATCTTGCCTTGGACTCTATCCAATTTATTATAAAACCATTCACTGCTATTGGAACTTCCAGTTTGAAATCTGGTGTTTTGTCATATCCTCTTGATCTTAAGTATTCCTCATTACGAAATGCAAGATTGTGCTCTGTCAAATAGTTCTGCAGTTTTAATTCGTATTCCTGACCAACAGACCTAACAGATTGAAAGTGAAATAAATAACACCATACAAACTAATATAGAATTATCTTGCAATAATCACTCACAAAGAAAGAAGAACTTACACTCCAGTCGCATCTGCTATGGGTCCGTACACGTTATCGTATAAAACACACTGCAAGAGAAAGTATGTATACATTCAGTGATTTGAAAATACATAAATTGTATTAATCTAAGTTTGGGATAGTGTTGTTATTACCAAATACACTTCGTATGCAAGATCTTTATCTTGAATCAGTGTAGTATCTCTGAATAATTTTCCAATTTCATTTCTAGAAACTAAAAATATATTGTTATTTACAATAATTTATTTACAATAATCTATGTGGTTTACTAAATTAGAGAAAAATTACCGCTATGATCATGTATTTCACAGTGTTTTTCAAGAATATTCTTAGCTAATAATGCAGGAGGTACACTGAGATCCTTTGCCAGTCTTAATAATATACCAACAGATTCTCCATTTCGTACAGCTTTCATGTAACTATTGTTTAAACAGTATTACATAACAAAACTCATACATGTTTCAATATAAAAAGTATGCAATATAATGCTTACATGTCGTAATAGTTTTTGTTACTGCCAAACAATTTGTTATGATTAATTTTCATTTTGTGTTGTATATCTAAGGATAATATCCCATATAGCGTATTTGCTGGAATGCTGAATGACAAAAATAAAGATAAAGAGTAAATAAATATTTATTCGAGTATAGTATAATAATATAGTGAAATAATCATATTAGTATTAAATAGAAATGATCTTACTCTTTGTATTTTTGTTTCAATACATCTCGACAATCCTTTGGTAATCCTCGATAATCTCGAATTGTATTTACAATGTCGTTGTACACTTCCAGCTTCATTCTTGATTATTATTTTTCAAACTGTCAATAATAAATCGCGTTGTCGTTTTGTCAACTTTTCTGTTATTGTGAATACTTCGTTCTGTTCAGGATATTTTCAATAAAAGTTAACAATTGACAGGCAGGTAATTATACTATTTATCCTATCAGTTGTAGTCAATTGATTGTCGAATTTCATCGAAGCTGAAATTTCGTTCAATTTCTTTAAAAAACCTACGCTGTTTTGTTTTTATTTTCGTGATAACACTGTTATACCATGCGTGCATGTGTGTATGTACTGAGTTACAGACTCTGAGTGGATCAAGCACTACATGTAATTTCGGGTCACACGTTCTGAATTACCGACATCGCTCGAGCAGTGGCACTAATTGTGTTACTGACTCGTATGTAAGTACATACATATGCAATGGCCCACGAAAATAAAAAAAATGTTAGAGGGACCAAATTACCGAGATCTACAAAATGTATTTTTTAAATTTTCGTTATGCATAGCTTCAGATAAAACAGTTAAGGAACATGAGTTTCTAATTCTTTTTGTCGTTCCAAGTAAAAGCAAAATTTAAAAAAAAGGTATCTTCGTCATGGTAGAGTAAACTAGTCCCTCTAACATCTCCAGAAAGTCATTTAGACCAGTTTTAAAAAACTGTTTGCTCGACTCTGAAATCCCAAGGCATGTAAGTAGCGCGAGTCAGTGATAAATTAAACATCGAATAAATTCGTACTACTTGCAAGATTTCGAAATTTTTGCAAATAGCACAAGGCAGGAACAAGTTGGGAACAGGAATGAAAACAGGAATGGAATTGTTAATGGGAACGGTATCGACCGAGACGCCGTGTCCAGTTTTCCTCGGTTCGTGGCCGACAGATGGACGGAGAATGTGCATTTATTCGCGAGCAGTAACGGACGAGAAGACAGATTGAGACAGATGTCGCGTCGGTCGGCCGTTCGACCGAAAGTTGGCGCTCGCAGTCTTTCCGTTGTCAATAACGGACGCAGTGTCCCGGCACAAAATTCCGGAAACGTCTCGTTTGTGGAATTCGGCGGCCATCCGGATGTAATTTCGAGTTGTCGCGGGTTGATTCGTACGTGTGCGAACATTTGGGAAAAGAGGACGCGTTGTCGATCGTGGCACGCGAATCACTGCATCGGAAGAATTCGCAAAACGGGCGTGCCTTGGATACTCGGCGACGAGACGAGACGAAACGGGACGAGACGGGACGGGACGGGACGGGACGAGACGAGACGGTACGGGGACGAAACTTCCCTCGCGCAAAAATATACAACGGCAATACGGAAACCGAGGAACGGGCAACGATCGCGATCGCGACTGCGACTGCGACTGCGGCTGCCACTGCGACTGCGGCCAGGACAAAGGGGACGACACGAAGTACGGGAACGGCGGTTGGTTCCACGGGGACGTCCACGACGACGAGGATCGAGCGACATCCCTCGGCGACGGTCACCTCGGGGACGATAACCGACGATAACGGGGAGAATATCGAGGACGTTAACGAGGACAAGAGCGGGAACGGAAAACTACCGCGGTGCAGTGGAGGCTGAGCCAATGCGACGCACCGCCGCGCGGATTTGAATACGAACGAACCCATAACTGTCAACGGTCGAATTCGAGGCGCTCGCGAACAAACGCCGTCTCTCTTCCTCGCGTATATCACAATATATCGCGGTTATTCGGTTATCCGGTGAACAGCCGGCTATTGCTCGGTGGTGGCTACAGGAGGTGGCGTGAGAACGCAAATAAATGACCATGGATCACGGCATGTGCGACATTCAAACCGGATACAGCATTAATATCAAGAGGACGGACGGTGAGTAGATTCGCGCACCGCAACTCAGGTATTTTTAGAAATTACCCCGAACGGCCGTAGCAGCTGAGCCATCGGTGTTACGGAGTAGTCGCGACGAGACGTGGGTTTCTTGCGATTCTATGTACGAGTATGGCAACGCGATACGACCTAACCCAGTCGGCTCGACGACGCTCGTCGATCGTCTCCGTAGCGGCGACGAGCAGCATCGATACACCGAATGTACATATGTATTCTCGGCCTTAAAGGAACATTGCGGGATCGGGTGCGTGGGTCGCTCGGCGAGCACCAGCGTCATGGAAACGCGCAGTTGGGACCGGTTCCGCTCTCCTGTCGGAAACTGGTGCGAGAAGAACACATTCGAGACCATACCGGTGACTCGTATTCGTTGCCCGTTCGCTCGACCTACGAATTTACTAATCCGCGCACACCTGTTTGTTTACCACACCGATTTCCATCGCCCTTGCTGCGCGATCGAAAAGGTGTCGCTGCGCCATGTTTGTTTTCCCCCCTTTTGTTTCTTGTTTCAAATTGGCGCGTTGCGATGTCGCGGCGCGTTCGCGATCGCGATTGCGATTTCTCCGCCGCGGCCGGAGAAGGTGTAGGCGGAAGACGAGCGCACCTATCCGCGAGCGACAAAGATATCCTTTCACCGCGTATGCACCGTGCACGCGTCCGCGTGCAACGAGACCAGAACGAAACCAGTCTTCCTCGAGTCATTGATCGCGCTTCTCTTACACGCTCCAGATTTTCACGCGAGACAATTCGTGTCTAGAAGCGTTGATTCGCGTGCCTTCGGGTCTTTTACGGACCACGTACCGATCGCACAGCATCAAATCATCGGGCCGGGACTCGGACACGACTTCCGCTTGGCTCCGATCGACCGACCGAAAAAGAAAACATCGTTGCCGAATACCCCGGTGCTGACCGATTCGCGATCGATACATAACGGCCGAAGGAACCGCGCGCGACAGAGTACAGTTTTTCGAGAGAATGTCGAGGATATCGATCGTTGCATTTATTTCCACGAAACACATTAGAAATACGTTGGATTGGAGATTAGAGGTACGGTAGGAAGACAAAGTCGACGGTACGCAATGGATCGCGACGCAACAAGTGGCCGTGGCGCGTATGAAATTTCGTAGCAAACGGTTGTCCCAACGTTGGGTCGCCAGAGAAGGATTCTCATCGCGCTCCTCTCGTTCGTCCTTGCCCGAAAGAGCGAGCGGCGCGTGGTTGTCGCACTACACGCGCCACACGCGAGCGTAGGTGTCGTATCCTTATAAGGGCCTTCGAATCGCAAGATTTCTGCCGCGGCGAATCTTGCCTTATGATCTTATTGTATATATAAGTATATATATATATATATTTTTATATAAGTATATATACAATAAGATCATAAGGCAAGATTATATAATATAATATTATTATATAATTATTATATTATATAATATATATCAATCAATATATATCAATATATATTATCCGATCTTGAGTCATTGAACATTGGTTTTTCTCGAGATGCGTCGAAAGTGTTCGATGGTACTTTCAATCGTAATTTTGGTGTTCTCAAAAAGAGCAAGAGCGAATCGAACGGCAGATACGGGACAAGGATTTATGATAATATATGATTATTGTTTGTCGCAGGTCGCGTCCACTCGGCTGTCGTTTCTGGAGTGAATTGGGAACAGCGAACCGTCACCGTAGAATGGTTCGAACGAGGAGAGACCAAAGGAAAGGAGGTAACGTCGAGAGATCGCCGAACGGGAATCCTTTGTTCAGAGATTCGTCTAAAATCTAAAGCGTGTTCCCTGGTGAATTTGCAGGTCGAGATCGACGCGATCCTCGCGTTGAATCCCGAGCTTATGAACCAGAAGGCGATGGGACCTCCGCAGACGCCACAGATCAACAACCATTCTGTCTCGTCCTCCAGAGCCAGGGTATGTATATAGCGTCCTACACGCTCTCTCGATGTCTAGGATAGCAGACAGCCAACCGCGTGACGGTTCGCGGGAGGTCGATTCGCCATTCTGCGATCGCGTCGCGGTCGGTAGTATTATCGGGATTTTTCGCGTCGACTCGATCATCCGTTTCATCCGTTTCTCTGGTCATTCCTTCGGTGTAGTCGGGCCGTCTGCACGCCTCCGTGTCGTCGCATCATCGTACCGTCTACCGTATCGCCGCGTGGACGTACCCCCCCCCCCCCCCCCCCCCCCCCCCCCCCCCCGCAATCCCCAAGTATTAAGACATCTGTTTATTTGGTACAAATTGTAATATTTCATTCAATTTAGGTAATGTTTTTTGCAAGTCTGCAGTATGACATCATATTGTCGAAAGTACATATTAAGTTACAAGCGTCGTTTGTCATTTGTGCAATTAGTTTATCCATTTATTGCATTTTGTTCATTGAAAACGTGTCCAGAGTACATTTCGTACTCTTCGCTAGGTACAGGCACGCGTCGATTCTCGATGTTTTCTTAATACGTTGAACATACTATAAAATGCATGGGAGCAAACGGGATAAAGAATAATAGAAGGTCTAATAAAACCGATGCCGAAATTAGTCGAACATAAAATAAACATCGTAAAGAACATTTTTCCGTGCACTTCTGTTGATCTGACAAGAAAATATTTCGAACAAATATTTATCGGCTCCCTGATCGCTGTACGACAAAACATTTCGTTTTAAAACACTGCTATCTTTTCCAATAAAATATTTCAATATATATTTTTTACTTCACATTAATGTAGCTCGTGTCAAAACGAATTCAACGACCTATTATAGCATGACCGAGAAATTTTAGTTTAATCAGCAGAAACGATTAAAGATGAAAATTTCTTTATTTCAAGATACATCAATCAGCAAATTGATAATTTTATTACGAAAACAAAGCTATTAGGGCGGCTGTGACCTAATTATTTTATTACAAAAGTGTTATTATTACAAACAAATTATGTTAAAACCTATGTTCGAACTGGAATCCGTGTTCTACAACAGTTTAATATAATTAGCTTTGAAATAAATTTCAAAAATTATAACAATTTCCTGTCGGGTTTTCATAATAATAATAATTTCTATAAATGCCCTAGTATTTTGGCGATGGGGGAGGGGACGGGGTATATTCGCGCGAAGTCAACCGTTCCTTCGTCTTCGTTCGTCAGCGATACGATTGGTTCGAGAAAGCGCCACGGTAGGCGGCGACTACACCGACGAAGTTTGCGCACATTCGTCGTCGACGTCGGCGCCCCGACCTCGACGTAGTCGCTATCTCGTTGTTTCCTCGTTTTCGCTACTAACACGTTAACATCTTTTTTCCTCCATGGACGCTGCTCATTATCTCGGACTTGGGTCGACGATGGATCATCAACGACCTCGGAATCCTCTCCAAAACCGATCCTAACCGCGACCTTGCATCTTCGTCGCGGTGCTAAATCGAAATGTCTGCCGGCGTCTCGTTCCAATTGTTTCGACTCGTCGATCCACCTCGATCCAACACATCGATCCCACCCGTTGATCCGCGCGATTCGTTACGGTATGGGTGGCCGAGTTGGGTGCTTGCGCGCGATAAATCGACTGTCACGACGCGCGCAGGATTCTTCTGGCGACGATGACGAGGGGATGGACGAGTCGGAAAACCACGAGGAAGGCTCCCTTGGACGGCATGGCGGTCATGCGACAAGAAACGGCCTTGCGTCCGCAACGCTTCCTGTACGAGTCACGTCTACTCTTTCGGTAAACGCGGATCCCACGCTCCGCGCTCTACGCTCTTGTCCTCCGCTCTTCTGCCCTTGCCTCCCGCGTTCTCCAGTCTCCGCTTTCCGCTTTCCAATCCTGGATCACNGCACCCCCCCCCCCCCCCCCGCAATCCCCAAGTATTAAGACATCTGTTTATTTGGTACAAATTGTAATATTTCATTCAATTTAGGTAATGTTTTTTGCAAGTCTGCAGTATGACATCATATTGTCGAAAGTACATATTAAGTTACAAGCGTCGTTTGTCATTTGTGCAATTAGTTTATCCATTTATTGCATTTTGTTCATTGAAAACGTGTCCAGAGTACATTTCGTACTCTTCGCTAGGTACAGGCACGCGTCGATTCTCGATGTTTTCTTAATACGTTGAACATACTATAAAATGCATGGGAGCAAACGGGATAAAGAATAATAGAAGGTCTAATAAAACCGATGCCGAAATTAGTCGAACATAAAATAAACATCGTAAAGAACATTTTTCCGTGCACTTCTGTTGATCTGACAAGAAAATATTTCGAACAAATATTTATCGGCTCCCTGATCGCTGTACGACAAAACATTTCGTTTTAAAACACTGCTATCTTTTCCAATAAAATATTTCAATATATATTTTTTACTTCACATTAATGTAGCTCGTGTCAAAACGAATTCAACGACCTATTATAGCATGACCGAGAAATTTTAGTTTAATCAGCAGAAACGATTAAAGATGAAAATTTCTTTATTTCAAGATACATCAATCAGCAAATTGATAATTTTATTACGAAAACAAAGCTATTAGGGCGGCTGTGACCTAATTATTTTATTACAAAAGTGTTATTATTACAAACAAATTATGTTAAAACCTATGTTCGAACTGGAATCCGTGTTCTACAACAGTTTAATATAATTAGCTTTGAAATAAATTTCAAAAATTATAACAATTTCCTGTCGGGTTTTCATAATAATAATAATTTCTATAAATGCCCTAGTATTTTGGCGATGGGGGAGGGGACGGGGTATATTCGCGCGAAGTCAACCGTTCCTTCGTCTTCGTTCGTCAGCGATACGATTGGTTCGAGAAAGCGCCACGGTAGGCGGCGACTACACCGACGAAGTTTGCGCACATTCGTCGTCGACGTCGGCGCCCCGACCTCGACGTAGTCGCTATCTCGTTGTTTCCTCGTTTTCGCTACTAACACGTTAACATCTTTTTTCCTCCATGGACGCTGCTCATTATCTCGGACTTGGGTCGACGATGGATCATCAACGACCTCGGAATCCTCTCCAAAACCGATCCTAACCGCGACCTTGCATCTTCGTCGCGGTGCTAAATCGAAATGTCTGCCGGCGTCTCGTTCCAATTGTTTCGACTCGTCGATCCACCTCGATCCAACACATCGATCCCACCCGTTGATCCGCGCGATTCGTTACGGTATGGGTGGCCGAGTTGGGTGCTTGCGCGCGATAAATCGACTGTCACGACGCGCGCAGGATTCTTCTGGCGACGATGACGAGGGGATGGACGAGTCGGAAAACCACGAGGAAGGCTCCCTTGGACGGCATGGCGGTCATGCGACAAGAAACGGCCTTGCGTCCGCAACGCTTCCTGTACGAGTCACGTCTACTCTTTCGGTAAACGCGGATCCCACGCTCCGCGCTCTACGCTCTTGTCCTCCGCTCTTCTGCCCTTGCCTCCCGCGTTCTCCAGTCTCCGCTTTCCGCTTTCCAATCCTGGATCACCGAGGATCCGAACTGCTCGACCGTGTTCGGGCCGCCGCGGCCACGCTGCACAGCATCGCATCGCACCGCACCGCACCGCACCGCACCGCATTGTATCTTCTTTCCACCCCTGTAACATCGATCGTGTTCGATCGCACGCGGCGCGCGAATCGAGGGAAGTGTCGCCAAGCCGGAACGCGTCGTTTCGCAGCGCGTTCGGATCCTCTTCTCTCGATCCGACATCGATCGGCACGACCGTCGTTGTACGATTCTGATCATTTCCATGCTTCTCGCGTCCCACTTATCACGGTATCCTGTCGAGAATATACCGTCCAGAATCTCGCGACGGTTTTTGACCGGACTCTACGCCACTCCCGACCTCGAGTCGCGCTCGTTTGGTGAGGAGACGCGAATTTCATACGAATCTATTTGAACACTGTTCGATCACAGTACGCTAAGCTATAACACGGTGAATTCTCTCAAATTGTCTCTTGGCTTGTAAACGAAAATGGCACAATTCAGGAAGAGGAGTCGTACTTGTCGGCAATCGGAAACTATAGAAACGAGCCGCGCGAGGCTCGTCGAATAATCCAAATGATCCTCTTGCCAAATTGTCCATTTTTGTTCACAAGCTGAGGGACTGTTTGCAAGAGTTTATTATACCACGCTACCAGGCATTGTCTATGCAACTTTACGATACGTGTTGTCTGTTTTTTTTTCCAGCATTCTATGAAGCAGTCGATCCCGGTGAAAGGTACGTTTTGCATAGTCGTAAACGCCACGCTTCGCGTTCGAAAGTTTTTCTTCGGGATTTCTACGATCGATCGGTTTTCCTTTTGCTGGAGGAACGAATATGTACATATATCGTCGAACGGTTCGCGTCGCGCGCGTCTGCCGACCGCCGTCCATCGATTTTTCAAGTTGCCGCGAGCATGTGCCGTTAACACGCGGTGTGCTCGTCCGCATCGTACGTGCAGAACCGGACAGTCTGTTCGAGTACGAGGTCGCGAATCGTGGCTCTTGCCGCGAAATATCGACGTTTTCGCTGTACATGCATAGGCGCAAGGGCAAGGACCTTGACGGTGACGAACTTTAAGCGACCACGCGTCAACTTTTCCGTATTTGCTCTCTCTCTCTCTCTCTCTCGCTCTCTCTCCCTCTCTGTCTAGTGGCCTTTTTTTTATATTTGTCGTTATACTTTCGTCTTCTTCATCGTTCCCTTTGTCCTTCGTCATTCCATCTGCCCGCGCCTGTGCCTGTGCCTTTGCCCTCGTCTTTACCTTTGTCTCGGAATCGATCCGCGGAGGTGAAGCGAGGCTAGGCTAGGCGAGGTCGCAATTCTCATTGTTCGTCATGAAGTTCGATCCGTTGAGTTATTGCTTCGGGAAGAAAAATAGAGTAACCAACGGGGACGACGGAAGCGAGGAGGACGTGCGATCATCGCCGGAATGGATCGAACACGGTAACGTTCCGCGTTTTCGCGACGAGAGGGATAAGAAAGAGGATTCGTTGGATCGCTCTCGCTCTCGAAGCCCGCTTAAAGATCGTTGTGCTTAACGTGTCGTTTGCAGCGGGCTCCAATAGGCAATTGTCGCGACAGACGGGTCGACCGACAAATATAATGCCACCTGCTACGCCAGTCAACGGACACGGAGATTCGGTCACCGGTTTAACGGCGCGGCGGGAACTCGAAAACATACCGCCGACGCCCACAACCGGTGCTGTTCCTTTCAACGTGAACGCCCAAGGGAAACCGAAGCAACAGCAGCTGCAACAACAGCAGCAGCAGCAACAACAACAGCAGCAACAACAACAGATACAGTCTCAGCAGCAAGCACAGGTGGAGAATGGTCGAGGCAGACGTTCGAACGTTGTCAAAGAGGTCGAGAGATTAAAGAAGAACAGGGAGGAGAGACGACAGAGGCAAGCGGAGCTGAAGGAAGAGAAAGAGGCTATGATGAATTTGGATCCGGGCAATCCGAATTGGGAGTTTCTCGCGATGATAAGGTCAGTGGTGTATCCGTGTTTTCTCGTTGTCGGTTTCTCATCATTCTCCGGTGCGTTACCGAGTTCCTTCTCGTTTTTTTGTTTTGATTCCTGTTCGTAGGGAGTATCAGAACAGTATAGACTTCAGACCATTGCGGGACACGGACTCCGTCGAGGACCATCAGATCACGGTGTGCGTGAGGAAACGACCACTGAACAAGAAAGAGAGCGCGCGCAAGGAGGTCGACGTAATCAGTGTGCCGAGCAAGGACCAAATGGTGGTGCACGAGCCGAAGGCCAAAGTCGATTTGACCAAATACTTGGAGAATCAGATATTTCGATTTGATTACGCGTTCGACGAGACCTGTACCAATGAGATCGTCTACAAGTACACCGCGAAGCCGCTGGTGCAGACCATTTTCGAGGGTGGCATGGCCACGTGCTTTGCCTATGGTCAAACGGGCAGCGGGAAAACTCACACCATGGGCGGCGATTTTAACGGGAGGACGCAGGACTGCAAGAAAGGCATATACGCGATGGTCGCCAAGGACGTGTTCAAGTGTCTCAAATTGACCAAGTATCGGCCTTTGAATCTAGTTATATCTGCCAGCTTCTTCGAAATCTATTCCGGGAAGGTGTTCGATTTATTGGCGGACAAGGAGAAGCTCAGGGTCTTGGAAGACGGGAAACAGCAAGTTAGTTTTCATTCTATTTTCCTTTTTCCGATCGTTGCTCGTTCGGCACGCATGCAATCGCCTCCAATCGCCGACATTAACCGTTTCGCCGGCTTCTGTTCCAGGTGCAAATCGTCGGATTAACGGAGAAGGTCGTCGAAACCTGCGACGAGGTACTCAAGCTGATCCAACACGGAAACAGTGCCAGAACGAGCGGCCAGACTAGCGCAAACTCAAATTCTTCACGTTCACACGCGGTCTTTCAGATTATAGCTCGAACGCCAGGCACACATAGGGTTCACGGAAAATTTTCTCTGATCGATCTCGCTGGAAACGAGAGGGGAGCCGATACGTCCTCCGCCAACAGGCAAACTCGTGAGTCGACAGTTGAAATATTAGGTCGATTCGTAAGTTCGTGCCGCGAATATGTTTATACTTTTTGACATGTTCAATTGATCTCGTAAAGGAAATTTTTGTCTCGAAGATCAAGCACATTCTGGACGTACAACTGACGAGATGTCTGAAATTTTGATCAGCCTACAAATAATCTGTCCACAGATACTTAAAAAAGATGGGAACAACAAACTATACACTTATGAGATATATATATACACTATATACTATAATACTATATATACACTTATATATACATGATCTAATAGTTTATTGAAACCGACACGTACCATACTCGACAGCGAACCGTTTCATTTACAGTTTCTACGATTTCTACAATTTTTTCCATTTTTACTTTTATTTGACAGGAATGGAGGGCGCGGAAATCAACAAGTCGCTGTTGGCTTTGAAAGAGTGCATCCGAGCACTGAGTCGCAAGGGCACGCATTTACCGTTCAGAGCGAGCAAGTTGACTCAGGTGCTAAGGGACAGTTTCATCGGCGAAAAGTCCAAGACTTGCATGGTAATCTAAACGCTGATCGTGTTTCCACGTCAACGCGGACATCGAGAGTGTGCCTGTAAAACGGATCGTCGTCGTTTTTCGTTCGCAGATTGCCATGATCAGCCCGGGAATGAGTTCTTGCGAGCATTCGTTGAATACCCTAAGGTACGCCGATCGCGTCAAGGAGCTAGCCGCGACCGATCCGACAGAAATGAAAGTTTCTCCGACGGATGAAGATCGAGAACCAACGATCGACGAGCAGTCCAACACTAGCGTTCTATCGGACAGCGATTTGGCGCAGCTTCGTTCCCTCAACGTTAGTTCTGTTCGCTCTATAAACAACTGTCGTGTTTCCTTACCATAACCGATATCCTGAGAATGAATACTTTTCAGGAAGGTGAAATTTCCCAGGATCTGTACACTTTCCACGAGGCCGTGTCAGCGTTGCAGTTGCTGGAAGAGGAAGTTTTGGATACGCACAAAATGGTCATTGAAAATACCACCGGGTTTCTCAATGACGCTCGTACCGTATTTAGCGCAACGCACGAAGTAGACTACGACCAAGAAGGTAAGATTCGACGATCACTCTTTACTTCTCGATTGTCGATATTCGCGCTCCATCGCGATCGTTTCCGCATGGCTCTGTCTATTTTCGTTTCCGATAAGCAAACGTTTCCCGTTTTCTATCGGTCAAATTCTTTGTTTGTGTTCGAAATGCTAAACCTCGTTGCATGGACTATTTATCGATCGGTACTGCGGGGCTTCTACGGGTAACGCGTTTGCTCTTCCGATCGGCGTCGATGAACCGGTTGATGCGAAACGTGAAAGTTCCGTTGCGTGGGTCTAAGAGGAAACAGGATGGGTGGAGGGCAGAGGGCGGAAGGCGATCAGGGTACGGCATGATCGACTATGAAATTTTGCAACAGATTCGCGCGGTAAAGGTAAGGCATATGCGAGCTGCACGTTAAAATGGAACCGGAATTACGGCAGAACGGCGACTGCTACGACTACGACTGCGACTACGGATACCACTACGGACACGGATACGGACACGGATACGAACACGGATACAGCTGCGGATACTACTACTACTACTACTACTACTACTACTACTACTACTACTACTACTACTACTACTACTACCGCGACTCGTGCTTCGTCCACTCGAAATAAGGCAGTACCACTCCATAGAGTTACCTACATCTCATCGCAAAATTACGTGCGGTCCGAGCCAAGCGAAATCGTTGATGAAACTATAATGGATTCGTTAAAGAGCCCTTGGAAGGAAGACACGGAGTATAAAAGAGACGTTGATTCGTGGGATATTAGCAACCACGGATCGAACGAATGCCTAATTGAAAACGACAACAGCCTGACACCGTTAGACAACACGAACAACATATTTTCGATCGCCCTGCGTGTATCGAGGAAGAACGAGAACGTGTCTCGAGGAACGAACACTACTCCAACGTCTACGCGAGTCGGATCGTTCGGTCAACGATCCTCGACTAGAAACAAGAATACTTCGTCCAAGTATCACTGGTCCGGCACGTTTAACGATCGCGCGAGAAAGCGTTCAAATTTCCGTCATTTCGACGACGGCAACAAAGGCGACAACCGTGACGCCGACGACAGTGGTACCGATTACAATTACAATTTGGAGTCGCTCGATACGGACAAGCCAGCGAGAAAAAAGAAACTGGTTTGCTACGATGAATCGGAGCTCGACGTGCGAATCGAAAGCAACGAAACCGCGAGAAGTTACGGCGATCGAAGAGCTGTTCGCGTAGCTAGAATCGGTGCCACGGCGTTGAACGAGTTCGACGCGACAGTTCGAGAAGCAGATCGTTTCAGTCGTTGTCTGTCCTTCGTCGTCGACGACCGCGAGTCGTTGTTACGCGAAATCGATCGAAGAGATCGCGACGCGTCCCTTTCAAAACCCTGCCACTTACCTCGCAGATCACCTTACCTCGAATCCGTGAGATTTTTGCTGACGGTCGTGAAAAACCTTATTTTCTTTTCTTTTTTGCCCACCGCGTACGTGGCTTTTTTCTTTTACGTAAACAAAACGCAAGGACAGTAACGAGAAGGCTCGATCTTTTCGATCGACGCGAATACTATTTTAAGAACTGTTTTATTTTTAACGTATAACGATTATTCCACTAGTATTATACATTGTATATTGACATATTGTGTACACCTATGTACGCCAATCGTATTCGCGTGTTTCCGTTCGCGTGTTTCCGTTCGCGTTCAGACGATATACGTAGAAGAACGAATATTAACCTTTTGAGCTCTGAATACTCCTGGCCGAAACAGTTCGTAGGGACGGACCGCGGCTATCGCTGACCATCGCTGCGGGCGGAATACTTTTTTGCTACACTGAAGTGACTATTCAAGGCGCAAACAGTAATAAATTATAGTAATAAATTATAGTAATAAATTATACAAGACGATACTGCTGACTGAGTCGTTTTGAGTGCTTTGAGTCGCGAAAAGGTGACCAGTGCAGGTAATTATTTTGAAATCTAATTGGTTAGAGAGTGGATTTCCGTTTCGGAAATTCCCGGGGATTTTTATGACCCTAATATTGCCCAACCGTTACCTAAGGAAAGCAAATTACTAACGAGTGCCCCTGTATTAATTTTACACGAAAATAACTGCGTATTGATTGAAAAAATCGACAAGCGCATATATGCGCCCTTAGTCCAGGCCGATGACTTGGAGAAAGCACATAAATGCGGCCGCAGGCTACACAGATGACTTTCGCCAAACGCATATATACGTCCATAGAGCTCTAAGGGTTAATCCGGGAGATTTCGTAAACGTGTCCGAAGGCATGCGTCCAAAATTGTGAACTCCGGCGTGGCCTAGCCGGCAAGGGACGACAGTGTTGCGGAATCGTCGATCCGTGTTGTTCTATCACCTATCAGTATTGAATACTTCGACTTACGAGTTCTAGTTAAAACACCTTGACATTGTTGTAATCCGCTTGTCGCGATTCACGATCCTGTTTCCGGCGAAAGACGAGATGAGACGAAACGAGAGCGAAGCGCATTCCAATGCAAGATTTCGGGAGACGGACACTGTCGTGTACGGGCAACGATCACATTACTTTGTAGCTAATCGTAAGGAGCGCCAACCGAGCAACAACTTTTCATCGTAACGTCACGAACCATTGCAGATTTGAGACGGAAAAGAGCAAAGTTTGAGTCGCCCTACCCAAGGAGGTTCTCGTTGAATAGACGTCTGATAGAGAGAATACAATTTTCCGACGGTACGAAATTCATTATTTGTCTCGCAATCACCGAAGTCATTTTCCGATCAAATCAATTTGCCGCTTGTCTTAATTCTATAAGCAGCAGCAACGGCAGCGGCGTTAGTGTACTAATCGTCATCGTCCGCGGATAAGACGCGAAGGTATCGGGCTGGATAAAATCCTCAAAAATAATGCTTCGAACGAACGAAACGATCGATGTCGCGGCAGGGTGGACGGCTCAACTTTTCGTCTTGCCGTCGAATATGTGCCTGCAAATCGACTGTGACCATCGTTTATCCAGATCATGTATTCTCCGTGATCTCCGAATACGCTCGATTTTCCTCGTTCGAGCTGCTGTCGCGCGTTTACGAGTGAATCCTTGATCGATTGATTCACGCGGATCCTGAACGATGCATAAGCTGTTGTCGCTTTAAATAAATCTTATTTTTGTGGATTCGTAATCTAACGGTACATTGTGTTTTCTTCGCACTAATTCCAGAAAAATAACCGACGACTGAACGAGACGGACCTGTACGAGCGGCGCCCGTGGAAAGTCCGTCTCGTTGTCTCGCCATCTCGTCATCTCGCCTTACCACTTTGTTCTCGTCATACCGGTGAACCAACTAACCGACCGATCGATTCTCTTCGGCACGGTTCGATACACGATATTACGCGATAATACGCGACCGAATTCGCGACAACTCGCTTGCGTTCACGCAAATTCATGAAACATTTCAGCCTCACAATCGCGAATCACCGATCACTAATCTCTAATCAATCGCTAATCAATCGCTGAACGAGGTTTCCGAGCCAACTATTGAAAGCGTTTTGTCTGTTACAGCGTATGCCCAAAAATGGGAGCAGCTACTGATTGAGCAGCGCAACACCTTGAACGTCGCAATAGATCAAGTGAGTCAGTTTCGCGGACAGCTGTTGCAAGAGGAACAGATCAGCCAGAAGATGACGCGAACTCGTAACCTGCGACACAACTAAACCCGGATTTCTTTCACGGAACAGAGTGTGAGAGACCGATACAACACAGTGGGTTAAGCAGGCAGGGAGGCAGACAGATGCTTTTAGGCGTTTCTCAAATACAAAAAATCTTCATTCGCTTTTCATCCGAGCATATCCCACTTTTTCACAATACGTCGTCGATCGTGCTACTCTATCCTCGACGTGATCGTACTAATTTACGTACAAGGACAAACTTCTATTCGGATCTATCGGTACCTTAATCGCGCATACTCGCAAAAGTGCGACGCGCGGAAACTTTGTCGCGAGAATAATATCGAAACCATCTTTTATTCTAGCTCGTTGAACGATTCTTCTTGCCATCGTGCTATTTAATTATTCGTCGTCCCGGTACATTCGAAAACCTCGCTGCAAGCAGCGACGTCCGGATTAAGTTAAGGACCGTTAGACAGTGGATTTCGGGGCATCTCGCTCTGTATGCGAACACGTGAAGCGATAAACACAAAGCGACAAACGCGATGCTACAGAAAACGCGAAGCGACAAAAAAAACTCGAAGCGACGAGCGTCCACGACAAGAGTTCATACAAGAACGAAAAATAAAACTAAATGGTTCGTAAACGGTACCTTTTCGTATACTGATTCTGTAAAAGCACACGCCCTGCTTATTCGCGATGGATCGATCGATAACGACCCATGCCGAGAACGTAATCGGTGGAAATTCTGCTCGAGGATTTACATTAACAGTAATCTCCACGATTAATTTAATCGACTCTTCCTTTTCCTTTCTTTATTATTCCCTCGCAGTTTCATCGTTTCAATTGGATTGGTGTTTTTACCGCTTTTGCCATGCTGCGCGAGTTTTATTTCAAAACCGGAGAGCCATTTTGCAAACAAAGTTTGTCCATCGTCGTGGACGTTGAAGTCTTCAATGGCGAGCGACCGCGAACAAACAATATTTTGTTGCTATTAAGAGAAACTCCGCGAGTTCTTTCCTCCTCTAAACAATCTCGTCCGAAACAAAGTGAACTCGGTAAAGTGGTCGGAGAAATATCAAACGAGTGTCGAAAAGGCAAGCAAAGGGTAGAGAAAGCGATCGAATGCTAACAAACTCTCAAGTGGTAAACAGTCTATTCGCGTTGTTGGTAAAGTATGATTTTTATAGAAATATATTTATATAGGTAACAGTGTCGTTGCAGCGCATATTTGTGTATAGAGAGAAAGAAAGATGGAGAGGAGAGGGGCTTTTTTGTGCGTATGTGTACACTACTGTGAGCGTGAGCGTGAGAAAAAGAGACTCGAACATTTGTCGTATCGAACGCAAAATTTCTGTTCACTTATGATACGTATTAAAACTGAAACCGCTTTAAAAATGGTAAGAACTCCTGCCTCTTACATGTTTTTCTTTCGCAAAGTACCATCAATGTTTCCTAATGTCAAGAACCAGGAGCATTCGCGAAGTCTATTCTATGTATATTTTCGAAGCGAGATACAAGAAACGAGAAGATTTGACTCGTCGGGGTAAATCACTCGGCTGGAGAACGGGAAGAGCAAAAGCATAACGAGACAAGCAGCTACAAGCGCGATCGTAGTTTCTTAATGCTCCGCATACATCATTCGTCACGTTCTCTTTTCCGATATAATTCCAATAGTCTGAATCGAATAGGGTCGTAACAGAATAGATAAACAACAACGAATTCCAAAATAATACGTTTATTAAAAGCCGCGTACATATTTACAGTTGGGCATCGCAAAAGACTTGACCAGCAAGCGACAATTGCGTGGGCTCGTATCAACAAGGTTAATTATCGTCGACTATGAGCGCGTATGATCGCGTGGACGCGCTCACAGAATTATGTTAAGTTGGCCGATAAGTCATTGCGTTTTTCCCACAGATGGCAATAGAGAAAAACGCAATGACTTATTGGCCTATTAAATAGATCTCGTTACCAAAAACGTGCGTGTATCGCGGAACCGATTCTACGCACGAAGAAAACCTGAACGAAAAATCACGTACGCGGTGTCAGCTGTTTTCCCGAGCAGACACAGATCGATAGGTAATAAAAACTATCGAATCTAATAAAAACGATTTTACCCTGTGGAATAGTAGTTACCCGATTCAGACGCGTGATTCGGATTTCAAAACGAACCTTTTTGCGCGTCGACTCGGTCCCGCGACGTTCCCTCCGTGCTTTGGCAACGTACACATACACAGCGTATCCCTTATTATAAAATCATCACAGTCTTTCGTCGAATTTCGTACTATACATCGCGTACATCGATTTCTTGTACAAGCGACAGAACGTAGCTGAAATTAGTGGAAGCATTTAATTCCGGCGATCGGAGGTAAAGATACTTTGTAAGGTCGAAGCTACGAGAATCGAACACGCTCGATACTCGGTCGTCGACGAAATTTCCTATTCTTCTTTGGTCTATAAAATACTTGAATGAGACGACTGGCAACGGTGAATGATCTTTGCTCAATCGTCGCTGAAGGCGTCCGAGAGATCGCTGACTTCCTCGGTGTCAATCGTTCTGCTTCTCTCGGGGAAAAATGAATCCTGGCTAAGAGCGGGCACCTGCCTAGAAAACTCGCTTGTGGCCCATAAAAACAGATCGAGCGTCTGTTCGGTGCACTCTGCTATGAATCGAATGAACGGCCGCACGTAGCCGGTGTTCGCGATTTCGAGATTTTCATAGTAGGTGTGCCGATGCTGTTTGTGGATGATAACGGGTGGATAGCCGGCCTGCATGAGGATCATGTTCATCAGCAATCGCGACGTTCTGCCGTTCCCGTCCGAGAAAGGATGTATGCGCACCAATTTGTAGTGCGCCAAAGCCGCGTATCTGCCATAGCAGCAACGGTATCGGTGTGTCGGCAGTAGCAATTAGTCGCAGCGTTTAGAGCAGCAGAGCAACGGTAACAGCAGCAGCAGCAACAACAACATGAAGAATAAGAAAGAACTGCGTTAGTCGAGTGTTACCGACGGTAACACTTGGACAGGAGATGATTTCCTACCTAACAGGATGCATCCGAATGGCGGTTTCGCTGTTCAACCAGAGCATAAATTCCTCCATGAGATAGTGTATGTCACCGGGACCGGGCGGCACGTGACCACCGACGTAAACCTGGGTACGGCGAAACTGGCCGCCTTGGACCGGATCCACGTGTCCCAGAACGCGCTTGTGTATCTCCAATATATCCTTGATCGAGATTGAGCCGACCCTGTTGACCAGAGTGGCGTTGATGTACTTCATAGCCGCGTCCAGACCCAAAATCTCGTTGTGCTCATCGATACTTTTGCCGGCGACCGCGGTACGCGTCTCCACGATGGCTCTGGTTTGAGCCAGGTTCATCGTGTTCCCCTCGATGCCGACCGTGTGATAAATGTGCTGAAAGTAAGCTTCCTTTTTGGCGCGTATCAGAGCAGCGTTCTTGTCGGGAATCGCTGCGAGCGCGTCCCGCTTCTCGTCTATGCGCCGAAGGGTGCTACGGTCTAGCTCCTCGACCACGCGTGCTGTCCTACGGCTGTTGATCAACGCCTCCTCGTGATTCGGCTGGTAATTGAGGGCGCGCGCGTAATACTCGTTCGCTTTGACCACGTCGTTTTGCGCGTACTCGAGAAACTCCCCGTAACGGTTCAGAACATCTGGATGCCGGGGCGCCAGCGCGACCGCGTGCTGGAACAACTTTACCGCCTTCTTTTCCTTGCCGGAGAGCTTCATCTCCAGAGCCAGCTGCAGAGACGTCAACGCCTCCGCGGTCGAGGTCACCCTGTCGCGGTTCGTCGTCGCGATCTCGCTGAGCCAACCGTTGCCACGAGAAGACGGCGGCACGGCCACGTCCAGGCTGCCCTCCAACACGTTCAGCGCGCTCTCCGACGGAAGCGGGACGAACGCGCGTCGATAATCCGGTTGCTCTGTAAACGGGGAACACGAAGGTTAGCGAGGTTATGTTCGACTAGCCGAACGTAGTCCAGCTTCCGATGCTTTACCTGGCATCTCGGCCGACGACAAATGGTCGATGTAGTAGCGGGACAATAGCGCGCCGATCGCGGCAACAGCGATTCCCGACGCGAACACCAGAAATACGACCACGCGATTCACCGTCATCGCGACGCTGCTTGCATTCTTTCGATATCCGTGTCTCCCGTTTACAAGGACGAGTTCGTCGTAGAACACGGAAACCAGACTCCGCTGTGACACCACCATGTCTCTGCGAGTAACGGGCCAACTCGGCAGCAGCACGGTTTCTTTCGGATCGCGAGACTGGACATCGTGTTTCCAGCTGTCTTGTCGACTGTTCTCGACGCGCTACACTCCAACAGCAACGTTGCGGACGAACCACGAGACCGCGGTAGTGTCTAGTCGCGCTGCGCCACTCATATCGCGTACACTCGATACGCGTTAGCGATATTAATCCACGAATCGTGTGGTTCTTCGCGATTGGTTCGGAAACGTTGCTCTGTTCCCATGTTCGTCGCGCCGCGGGCCAACAGATGTCGCCAGCGGTTCCCGAACGCGACGGCGCTTATCTTTTCTTTCCGATAAATAAAACCGATACGATGCGAGACGCGGTCCGCGGTCCGCGGTCAGCCTTTTCGAAAAGCAGGGTTGCTTCTTTCCTCCGCGCTCTTCCTCGCTTCTCCTCGCGCCTCTACGTTTCTCCTTGCTGCTCCTCGCTCCTTCTCGCTCTTCTTCGCCTCTTTGAACAGACGATCGCTGTCGCGCTCACAATTTTTCGGAAGGAGAGCGGCGCGAGGAGGTGGCGCTGCCGCTTTCGACGCCGCCGCCGCCGTCGCCGCCTCCACCGCGTAACTTCGTAGCGAGGAGGAGGCGAAACGAGACGAAACGAAACGAAACGAAACGAAACGAGGCGAAAGGATGCATGTGCATGCCGCTTGCCGCTTACGATTCAGCGAGAACGGGGGAGGCGGAGGTAGAACGAGAGGTAAGTCGACGCGAGCGAATAATAGTCGAAACGACCCTGAAACCGAGGTCATCGTTGTCCGTTGGCCCGAACGATGCCCGAGAGCGTTCGTTCCTCCTCGGGCTTTGACGCGTTTCGCGCCGCGAACGCGAACGCGCGCCGCTCTTTTTTTCTCTCTCGTTCTTTTCGGTAAAGACTCGCGAGTTGCAAATTCGAGCATTCGAAGGTTCGCCGACGCGACGCGATGCCTTTCTTCTGGCTGCCACTCCGTTTCGCTCCTGCGGACCGAACAGCGATAAATATACCGGGTGGGATAGATTATAGGTTACGAATGCGTTATCGCTATCGGCTCGGCCGCCGTTTCTTCTAGCGTCGTCGCTATCGTTTCGCGCGTTGTTCTTCGGCACAAGCTCGTGTCTCGCGCCCGATGCAAGGAGGGTCGCGACGGCTAGCCAAACTTTTCGTTTGTCGGCCCGACGAAGCTCGACTTCGATTCTCGATTTTCGGCCAAAAGCGACCGCGTGCAACAGGATCGCCCACCTCCGCCCCTCGACCACGCGAACCGCGGCGCGCCATCGGAAATGCTAAAACGCGACTCGCATCGTTCCGCGCGCTCGGTGTACAGCGTAGAGTGTAGAGCGTAGAGGAACGGTGTGTTCACTCTCCTCTCGAGCTGTTTGTAGCACCGACCGGTTCTGCTCTAATTGCGTTTCCCGCGTTGTATGTACTTCGATCCCTTCGTTCCGTGTTCGTTCGTTCGTCACGGTTCCTCTTTCCTGAATCGAAGCACGACAGCGTGCACCAAATTTCAACCGAACACCACTAATCGTGTATCGCGTCGAAATCCGAATTACGAGCTGAAAGAAATCGAATCGCGCCAGAAAATACGATCCTAGAAAAATCGATAAAAAAAAGGAGAATTTCGTTGCTCGATACGACGGACATGTTCGCGCGATTTCAGTGGTTTTCTTGGCTGGTATTAGGCGAACGTTTCCGATTCGAGACGCGCGCATTTGCATTTCGAGGAGGAACCGTTCCGCGAGTAAATTCGCTCGACTTTCTCGCTTTTAGCATTTCGCTTTTCGCCTTCGCGGGGATCGAACGGAGAATCACGGAGCACTCGCGCGAGCGAGGTTGCGGGGTCCACGCGTCGGCGGGTCAACGTTCTCGATCGTTCAGCCGGGTCACGTTCGGGATAAGCGCGAGGAAAAGAGAAAGGTTCGGGGTGACGGAGATGAACGAGGAGACGACCGAGACCAACGCGACACCCGCGGGACAAGGCGCTAATAACGCTAGGCTCCTTCGATGGGCCGAGGGGGCGAACGATTTTCATTGGTTCGTGTCCAGAAACGTTTTGCAGAAATATTCCGACGTGCTGGCTGCGACGACCGTACTCTGCCAGAAAGTCGTTGCCGGGTTGGTTTCGCTTTGTTTTAGAAGAGCGGACAATGAACGGATTCGCGTGGGCCGATACGTACGAGGAAACCGCGCCACGCGATTCCTCCTCGACCACGACCTGTTCGGATGTCCCGCTGCGGCAGGAGAAGCGAGAATGTTCCCCTCGGTGGTACGCAGACTCGCGCTGCGCTGTGCCGCGGCGGCGGCGGCGACGGCGGCGGCGACGGCGGCAGAGCGGCGGCAGAGAGTTGCGATTTGCGAGGCGTGCAATGTGCGCGCAGTCAGACGTACTCTGACCTACTCGCATTGGAACTGGGGATCGCCACCACCTCCGCCTCAGAGGTGGGAACGACGAGCGGTTTCTGCGCACTTTGGGAGAACCCAGTGACTCTCAGCGGTCGGTGCAAGCCGATCGTGTCTCGCTCGACCACGCGTTGCGTTCGAGGGGATGCTTCCGTTTCCGTTTCCATTTCTGTGTTCGTGCTCGTTCTCGTTACCGTTACCGCCTCTCTTACCACCGGATCCATCTTCCTCGAACGTCCGTAGAATTTCGTCGACAATGCCCGCGCGGCCTCCCGGACCACCCGAGAGCCATCGCGAACCAACGATTCCAGCGAGCACTCGCGTTTTACGAAAAATAAAAGCGAACTTTACTTTATCGAGGAAACCGTAAAAGCGGTCGAGCAATATCGGAGCGGCGTAAACTTCGCGGTCGTCCTTCCTCGAGAACTCGGCTCTCCTTTTACGGCGAGGAAGGTCGAAACGGAAAAAAGCGGTTCGTGGAAGGCGTCTATGTCCGATCCTTGGTCGGCCGCTGGCCACTGCCCGCCGTTGCCCGCCCGCCACCCTCCGCCGCCCCTACGCCTCCCGTCGCCAGTCGCCCGCCACCGCGCCGCGACGGCCACTTTGTCGGCGAGTTTATTATTCGTAACGGAGAATCCGAGAGGATCGACTGGATTATCATGAAGGTTCTCCGTTCCCGACCTCTCCATGCTTTCCGATCGGTTTCGCTTCGTTTCACGGGAATCGGCTTATTTTCGATGTTCGACCAGAAACGGCCGCGATCGTCTCGATAGCTTCGAATCGTTCAATTCGATCGGCTTTCGCTCGCGTGTAATACCAGAAAAATTGCCGAGAGCTTCCGAAGCTCTCGGAATATTGGGTTGGCCAATAAGTCATTTATTCATTTATTTATTTATTTATTATTATATATTTATTATATATTTATTATTTTATTCATTTATTTATTTATTTATTATTATATATTTATTATTTTGTTCATTTATTTATCTATTTACTGATCTATTTATTTATCTATCTATTTACTTATCTATTTATTTATCTATCTATTTACTTATCTATTTATTTATCTATTTATTTACCTATTTATTTTTCTATTTATTTATGTATTTACTTATCTATTTATTTTTCTATTTATTTATCTATTTACTTATCTATCTATTTATCTATCCATTTATCTATCTATTTATTTATCTATTTACATATTCATTTATTTATTTATTTATTTACTTATATATACAGCTAAGAGCCCATTTTTATATTACAAAAGAAAAAGCAAATATTAAACATTGCAAAAGTTGTATTGAGGAAGAAACGCGACTTTATTGGCCAACCCAATAGAAATCCGAATCGGCTTCTAAGTTCAGCACTGTTCACACTGTTCACTTCCGTGATAGTACGAATAAAACCGTGCGCGTCTGACGGCGTCTCGAACGTTCGCGATGTCGAAGGAATGGTGACCGTGGACGATCGGGTTTCGGCACCACGAGGATTTACTCCGATACTCGTGATTCTCGAGTCGTTGGTTTCGCTCGCGTTCGACGAGAAGGGACATGGTACGGCTTAAACGATCGATCGATCGGTCGTTCGATGAAATTCTCGAACGGTCTCTAGAGAGACGGTACATAACCTCTAACGTCTTCGATCATCCGTTTCATTTCGATTAGATCGCGTTTCCATCTAGGCTTCGTTTTCCCACGAGAGAAGCGGAAGAGGGGGAGGAAAGGGACTCTCGACGAACGGGCAGAGGAGAGCGTTCACCGAGATTTACGAGCGGGTCCCGCGTCTCGCCCCTCGCGTCTCGTGCCTCTTCTCCGCGTTTTATCGACAAACCAATTTCAGTGTTGCCCGCATAATTGCCTCGGCGCGTGTATCCACTTCGGTATCGCGGCCCGATGAGAACCGCTTGCCGATCGTTTCGATGGTTCCGCGTTCGTGTTCAATACGAGGAAGAAGCGACGAGGAAACTTGCCTGCACCGCAGCCGGATTCTATTCGACCAGGGTCCCTTCGAAATTGCGCGCGGCTCCACGGTGTGCGTGCGAGAGAGGTTCGGAGGCTCCCGCTGGCCTCTCCCACTGCCTCGCCCGCTACCTCTCCCGCCACCTCTCCCGCGGCCGCTGCCGCTCTCGCACGAGTTTTCGCCCCTGCTTGCTTGCTTGCTCGTCTTTCGGTTGTCACGAAATCGGACGTGGCACGGCCATTGAAACTCGAGATTCTCCCGAGACGAGCCATTCAAAATGCGCACCGTCCCGTACAATCTCCTTTTCCCTTTTTCTCGTCTTATGGACCCTCGCATTATGGAACCTCGCCTTATGAAAAGAAACGAGGGTCGAGGATTCGAAACCGGGGATCGAAATAAAGAAAGGCGGTCCTTCCGGATCGCCAGCCGGTGCGCGGGTGCGTCTATTAGTGCGAGCACGGCTGCGTACGCGATTGAGAATGTTCCCCGGGAGTAGACATTCCGATTGTCTGTTCGCTGTTCGTCGTATACCTGACGCGAACAAACTTCTAAAGATCGGTCGTGTACATGTGAATCGGAGCGGATCGATCCGACCGCGAAAATCCGGCACCTTGTTGATCCCGCGTTCGAGCCCGTTGGGAACCCATATTCATAAAAAGAAAGAGAGGAGAAGAAAGAGGCGAGGTAACAACGGACCGTCCGCGCACAGTGGGACAAACGGTGAATCTAGATGGAAAATATCCTACTCGGCCGTAAAGCTACAGTGGGCCATAAAAGTGTTCGTACACCTTTTAAAACGCAATAGCTTTTTTACAATTGGACGAA